GGGAGGCTGAGGCAGAAGGATCGCTTGAGCCCAGGAAGTTGGAGGTTGCTGTGAGCTAGGCTGACGCCACGGTACTCTAGCCCGGGCAAAAGAGTGAGACCCTGTCTCAAAAAAAAAAAAAGAATGGAACTTAGACAAAGGGGAAAGAAAATATTAGATCTCATGCCAACTAACTCTCTTACTGAGTAATATTTACCTCTTGAGAAGTGAGACATGATTGTTTTTTTAGAAAAAAAGGAGGTAGTGGTAAACACACACTAGGGGATGGAGAAGGAACTCTCGAAAATGAAATGAAAGCCACGCAGAACAAGAGAAACTAAAATTTACATTTGTATATTTTTTCTTTATTCTTTTCTTCTATGCTGGAATGAAATTATCAAGATAAAAGGAACGGGGATATTAGAGGAAGTATGTAACTAATATTCAGTAGCCCATGGGGAATGAAACAAATGATAGAGACACTCTGGAAAATGGCAACAATTCTTTCCAACAGTGGTTGTTTTCCTCGGTGTATACAGACTATTGTTAAGTCCAACTTTATGTATGAAAATATATAGATAAGTTAAATAATGTACTCAAGCCACACAATGCTACTATTAAGAGCTAGGAAAGAAGGTGTCAAGACCCATGCTCTTTCCAGTGTAAGTGCAGTCTTCATCTCTACTTTCCTGGTTCCTAAAATCAGGAGCACTGACTGGCTTCACTGTGTGGCTGTCGCATTCATCTCAAGATATTTTGGTTAAAAACATCTGTTTTGCACATACTTTTTGGGTTTGGAAACTCTTCGATATTTCTGGTCAAATAGCAGGGATTCATGTTACTGCCATTTTTTTTCCAAACTCACACTCAATTTCTGTTTTCTGTTAAACCAAAAGTACCACTTGATTATTTTTTCTCCAGGTGCATATTTCTTCAGCGGTCCTTGGTCTGTATTGATTCTTGCAGAAAATAATGTAATGTATAGAAAGAAACCTATCATGGATCTATGAGATATAAGTTCTACCTGCAGCTCAGCCACTATAGCTTGCTATGAAACACTAGATGAGAAATTTCTCC